AAAGTGATGATCAAATTAAAGTGAAAATAAACAGTTAAATAGTGTTTACAGCAAGGTAACTATTTCTACGTTTGCGTCTGGAGTTGCAGTGAACAAAGTGATCTGTGGAAAACTAGAATCTAAGCAGTGTTTAAGTGAAGATTTTTAAATTATTGTTCATAAAAATCCGTTGCACACTGGCCGTTGAGTTGGACTTTGCACTCGCTGGAATTACCTGCTATTTGTTCTGCAGTCCGTTTGCATATTGGTATAACTGTATAAAGTTTTTCGTCAACAGCTGGTAACGTGCGTTGGCCGAACGGTACACTGTTCGCCTTCATTATCATTAGGGCCCGCAGTTCGGGCCTGGGAGAGCAGACGTTTTTCTTGTCTTTTTTTGTTTTTTCCTTTCTGTTACCGAACATAAAAATCTTTCGTAATGGATTGCCTGGCATGTCGCAATAAGATAAATCGCAGCGAGGTTTTAGTCTGTCTTAGTTGTAAGGGGCATTACCACTATAAATGTCTCAATATGAAACAGCAAACTTACGTAATCACAAAAAACAATTGGCTGTGTCCCAGCTGTAACATTGTCACAAGACGACCAAAGGGCGACGAAACACCCACCCGACGGCAGTTCGAGCAATCACCGGTGGAAGCTAATATGTCCTGCGACGATTTCAATGTCGACCTTCTTAGTGGATCAATCAATTCGTCAGTGGTCGCCGAACCTAGCATGAATGACATTCTTAAAGAAATCAGGGCATTTAGAAGCGACTTTTCAACAGTTAATTCAAGCATTCATGCTATAACCACTGCAATACAGCAATTAAATGATAAATTCAGCGAGATGGAGTCTCGATTTAGTGCTATTGAGGATAGACTTGTTGAAACGGAAAGAAAGAGCTCTGTAATACCCCAGCTGAAATCTGAGTTAAACTCTGCAAAGGAAACCATCGTGGCGCTTGAAATGGAGAACCATAAACGGGATCAAACTGCACGAATGAACAACCTCGAGATTTCTGGAGTGCCCGTTGCTGCTGGTGAGAATCTCCACACCCTATTACAGGTCATCAGTAATAAGGTTGGACATACATTGGATGAGCAAGATATCGATGGGGTCGTGCGAGTCAGGCGTTTCGAGGTAGGTGAACTGACAACTACTTCAGGGTCAAACAACCCGCGCCCACCCGCCATAGTTGTGAGATTCACGCGGCGTCTGGCGAAGGACAGACTATTGGCAGCGGTGCGCTCGCGACGCGGTCTCTCCACCACAGACATTAATCTTTCGGGCCCCAAACAAAACATATATGTATCGGATCACCTGACCCCGCGGAACAAGCTTCTACTGAAACGAGCCCGACAAGTGAAAGCCAGCTTGGGATATTCCTATTTGTGGGTTAGAGACTGTAGAATACTGATGCGAAAAAACGATAAGTCTAAAGCTATAGTTATACATAACGAATCGGACTTATCGAAGTTAAGATGACTTATTATAGTTTCATATAAAACCAACGTATTTTATGCAGTCTTTTTATGCCTAGCTTTACCCACGTTAAATAATGACGGACTTAAGAATATGGCTAATTTATATTTAATTTTTATTTTGTTTATTTTTTGCATCCATTATTTTAACTTTACCAATTATGAAATTGTTTCGATATTTATACTATATATACAATTTAATAATATTATAATTATTAATTTTACCAAGTATGAAATGATTTCTATAGTTATACAATATATACAATTTAATAATATTATAATTAATAATTCAATGTTTGATAATTGTGTTAATATGGCGACATTCATTTTAACTTTGTTAATAGTTAACTCCCATTATTTTAAATTTTATAATTATAATTATACAATAACTTACAATATGTACATCTCATGCAAATTTAGACGATATAAACCTCTTAATAAAATTATGATTATTACGTACGAATCTGTAATTATGCAGTGATGGGTCCCACAACCAGAAATTTATTATGTTTCTATCAAAATGTAAGGGGCTTGCGCACGAAGTCGCACGATTTTCATCTACAAGTGGCTGCATCTGACTACGATTTAATATGTATAACGGAAAGCTGGCTGACATCTGATTTTTATGACAGGGAATATTTTGACAGTAGGTATACTGTATTTAGATGTGACCGCTCGCGGTTGGAGAGTGGCGCGGGGCGTGGTGGCGGCGTTGCTGTCGCGGTGCGTACTACCTTAAGACCGCTGCGCAGAGACTGGCCTGTTCCGCCCCGCGCCTCCTCCGACTGCGTGTGGCTATCTATACCATTAAACGCAAGCAATGGCATGCATCTGAACATTGCGTGCGTTTACATACCGCACGGCCCGAGCCATCGAGACGCGTTGGAGTCATTTTTCGCTTTGTCAAGTGAGATCTTGAATGACCGACCCGATGATATTTTTCTATTGCTAGGCGATTTTAACATTTCTTATGCGATATGGCAGGACAGTCACACTCTCAGGAAACTGCTGCAAGACGGCGGTGACATGACGGTCAATATCTTGAGAAATTTCTTAGCTTTTACCGGTCTACAGCAATATAATGGCGTCAGAAATGCTAGTAATCGTATCTTGGACCTGGTGATGAGTAATAGGGAATGCAATGTGGCGAGTTGTTGTCACCCCTTGACACCGGAGGATTTACATCATAAATCTATTGAAGTTAGTATTGATATCAAAGATTTCACTAAATTAAGGTCTGCGCCAATCTTTAGTTATAATTTCCCCAAAGCTGATTATCAATTAATTAATTGCGAGCTTAATAAAGTGAACTGGATAGATTTTTTTAATAATTTAAATTTGCAAGAATCTGTGTCCAAATTCTATTTACTTTTAAATAATTTAATAACAAAATACGTCCCTAATAGATTAATAAAATCTCATGGAAATTGTCCTGTATGGCACACCAAACCCCTTAGAAAACTTTTAAATGAAAAAAGAAAATTCCACAAGTTATGGAAATTGTATGGGAATCCTTTAGACTACCAAACGTTTACACTATTAAGGAAAAGAGCCAGGCATATGGAAAATGAGTGTTACAAGAGTTACATTAACTATGCAGAAAATAAAATTAAATCTTCTCCAAAATACTTTTGGTCTTATATTAAAGCTTTAAAAGGCAATAATGGAATGCCGGATACTTTGTATTATAAAGAACAGAGTAGTAGTGATGGGAAAGATATATGTAACTTTTTCAGTGAACATTTTCATTCTGTTTTTTTGAACAGTGTAGAAAAGGTGTCATCCAAATTAGTCCATCCACCAATGAATGCACTGTTAGATGTAGCCGAAATAGAGATATCATTTGAAACATTAAATAAATATTTAAAAAATGTCGATATCAATAAAGGGACTGGCCCGGATGGCATACATCCTCTATTTATACAGAAATGTGCAGATTCGTTAACAAATCCTTTGCTGTATATTTTCAAGTTATCTTTCAGTACCGGTACTGTACCAAAGGAATGGAAGCGAGCATGGATAACACCGATACCTAAGGGTTCCATTAGTCAAGACGTGGTTGACTATCGACCCATCTCTAAGTTGTGTCAGTTCGGAAAGATACAGGAGAGAGTTGTCACTGAACAAATGCTCGGTGCCGTAAAGCGAATAATCACTCCATCACAACATGGTTTCTGCAAGAAACGTGGTGTCGAGAGCAATCTGTTGAGTTTCACGGACGTCTTATTGGGGGAAATGGATAGTGGTGGTCAGGTAGATGTTATTTATACAGATTTTGCTAAATGTTTTGATAAGATTTGTCATTATACTCTTTTGGCTAAACTTTGGCAGCTCGGTATCCACGGAAATCTATTTCGTTGGCTGAAATCATATATATTAAATCGTAGTCAGGCAGTGGTTCTGTCGGGCTATACCTCCTCATTCAAATATGTGCCTTCGGGAGTTCCCCAGGGGTCCCATTTAGGACCCCTGCTGTTTGTTTTGTATGTGAATGATATCTCAAACATCACGATAAACTCAAGTGTTCTTCTATACGCTGATGACGCCAAAATTTTCAGAGTAATTCGTGATGGACGGGATTCCATTTCCCTGCAAAATGATTTAAATGCATTCGAAGAATATTGCAGTATGAACAGTTTATTTTTGAACCCAAATAAATGTCAAACTATCACATTCACAAGAAAGAAAAATCCGATAACTTTTTCATATAAATTATATGGAAAGGTTTTAGATCGTGTGACAGAAATTAGAGATCTTGGTATTATAATGGACTCCAAGTTAACATTTGTACCACACATAGAAAAAGTGGTAAATCAATCATTTAAGGTTTTGGGATTCATTTTACGCGTGGGTAAACCCTTTAAGTCTTCCGCAACATACAAATTACTTTTTAATAGCTACGTGCGAAGTCGACTTGAGTTCGCAAGCCCTGTTTGGAACCCTTACCATCGTGTGCATCAGGATAAAATTGAGAAGGTGCAACGAAAGTTCATTAAAACATTAGATTATAGAACTGGTAATTTACACATAGACTACGAGTCATCTCTTGTTTCCCATAATATAACTTCCCTTAGGCATCGCAGACATCTTATAGATATGAATTATTTATTCAAAATTTTAAATGATATAGTCGATGCCCCGTCCCTTTTAGAAAAAATATATTTTCGAATCCCTAGGAAGCAAGAGAGGACAAGTCGTAAAAAAGCATTGTTTGCTGTGACGCAAACTAAAACTTGTTACGGAAGCAATAGCTATATAAAACGAGCTTGCACGCTGTACAACGATGTTTTCAGTGATGTTGATATTTTTGGAACATCCTTAGCTAAATTCAAGCGCTGCATTGCCACTCATATGCAGGGATTGGACGTATAATTGCCATAAATATATTATATATCATTGCTTACTGGTAAAACAAACTATTGGGATTGTCGCCTGACATTAATTACTAATTAAAAAATTAAATAGTCTGTGACTCACTTATTAAATTAGGTCATTCATTCCAATTCGCCTGTGCACTAATTTAATTGTTGTTATATTTATATATGAAACCACGGAATCCATTGAAATAAAGCACTATAAGTTATCATGGTGATGTTGCTGCTGCAGCTCTGAATTTCAGAACGGCGGGCCTGTAATCAATCAAATTAATTTACTACAAAATAATTAAAATGTGATCCACATACTCACTCTAATGTGTTGCTAACGATTTGTTACCTTGAGTTTTGGCCTGTCTTGCATATGATGGTGGGAGCCGGCAGAAGCATCATTCCTTAGCTGTTTGAATCTATTTGATTTCGAGGGTCTTGCTTGTATTTCCTGTATAAAGTGTCCTGGTATCACATAGCCGCTACACTAGAAATTAACAATGAATAAGAGGTCACGAACATACATAATTGTACCTAGACAATATTAATAATATCAACTAGCCGAAATAATTGTTACATTTCATTTAAAACAAAAAAATATATATTTTGTTTTGATTTAAAATTATTATTCACTTGACATAACTATTAATTAATATTAATCTCATAAGAATTTCCAATATTATTTTAAAATAAATTAATAAATACCTTATTGTTGTGGCCATCTAAAGTAACTTTAATTCATGTATGCAATTAATTTCACTGTACAATCGAGACATAATGTTAAATAGCATGATTGGGACTCACAAAACAATTGAAAATGTATTATCAATTGTTATAAAATAGCCCGCATGTAGTGATTAATTTGGATGCCTATTGTTTGATTTCTTGTTAATTTTTGCATGTCTTTATTTTACACAATATGTTGTGATGGGCGCGACTAACAAATGCACAGTATTCTGCCATCTCTGGCTGGCTGCAGCCATGCACTGTCCGTGTCCGCTCCACTATGCCGCCGGCGCCATTGAGTTGCGTAGATACTGTTGCTGGGTGCATTGTGAGTTGTGCCTATTACTATCTCTCATAAACTTTAAGCCTAAATGTAACTATATTTAATGTAGGGAACTGTAGGTTTTTTTTTGTTAATATCTTGTGATCATGTAACATATGTATAACTGTTTGTTCCTTAAATAAATAAAAAAAAAAAAAAAAAAAAAAAAAAAGATAAACTCGTACATCTCGTAAAACTCATGACGGCGGGCGCGTCGCGTGCGCGGGAACACGAGGACACGTCACATCGGCGCGTGCGTATGAGTCTCACTGTCGCGCGCGTCGCTCGGTCCCGGCGGGGCGGTGGGGGCTGTGGCGGGGGGCTACCGGGCGCGGCTAGGTTGCACGGTGGCATACGCAAGAGAAGACGTTTTCATTGAAGTTTTATTTTAAAAAATGTGTCCATATTCTACCGTTTCGATAGGGATAACAATATTAAAATTTTTTTTTTAACTAATTATGGAAAAGTTAATTGTGGAAAAGTGTGAGTATTATGGAAAACTGATACTGAACCACCAAAAAAAATTTTTGCACTGGAAAAAAAATATTCCTGTATAAGTACGTACATAACTTAAAGTATATATACACATACAATTGCTATACATACAAATTGCATACAATGCTATACATATGTACATATAGCTTTTGACGTTTTCATACAATTCTACTGAAAACTACTATTAGGGACATAGTGACAGATAATATTTTTTAGTATATTTTTAAATGATTTTTTGAGCTGACTGCGTTTAACAATTCAGAAGGCAGCTCGTTATGTATCTTATGTATAATCCATTGCCCTGTACGCTGTCCAAAGTAATTCCTAGCTTTCGGTACCAAATACTTCCTTTGTTTAGATTGACGGGTTGGGTAGCCACAAGCCCGTTCCACTTTATATTCTCTGTTATTAAATTGTTCCATAATTAGTTTTAATTTAATATTTTTATCTACAGGTGTAATTTTTCAATTATTCGTATTCATTTTTACACTTTTTTTTTCTTTTTTATCAATTAATAATTTTATTTGTGGCGTTTTAATTTTATTTAAGTGTACAGGGAACGTTAATCCGTTAATCCACCATAATGTCGATAAATAAAGAAAATCCCCAACTCAAACAAATAATTCGAAACTAGATGAGTAGTTATGAAAGATTAATATCGGATAAAGAATAATACTTAAGAAATAAGAAATTTTGCACACGACTGTTCGTAAATTGTAGAACCCAACAATTAAGACCCGAGAAAGATTCTCAGAAGAAAAGTTGTAAATATTTGTGAGTTTTAATTAAAAATACCCGCAACTTCTTTGGTTTGCATCTTAAAAATTATGATAAACCTATATATATTAAGAAAACCTAAGTACGAAGGTTAATTAATGGAAAGATATATTTTGATAAAAACTACGAGTATTATATTACATAAGTACTATTAAAATGTTCGACTTTTATGATTGTAATAATTTTATAAAATTTGATATAAATGACCAAATATCCTAAATATACTGAATTTCGAATTATATATCTGTGCCTCTAGTGAAAAGGGGTATAAGTCTAAAAATGCAACTTTACAGGAGACGCAAAAAACGCCCTGCGCGCACCATATTACATGTTAAAGTATGTGTGTAATCTAAACAACTGTCAAATTAAATACATGTGAGGTGTTATAAAGGTATAAAATCTATGTACTTTCTTATTCTGGTATTAATTTTTACATAATCTGTATAGTTTTTAAAATAGCGACTTATACTTACCATGAAACGAACCACTCAAGGGTATAAAAGAAGTTAGACCCCTTTTCACATACATAAAAATATAATTTACCTAAGTGAAGAAGGATACGCATTTGGAATTATTTATATGATAACTAAGGAATAAAATCATATAATATAGTATTGAAATAACTCAATAAAATGAATTGAATGTTTCAATGACAATGACAAGATAAAATTCTAAAAAATACCACAAAAATAACTTGTGTCCTTTTTCACATAGTTATTAGTCATGCCATAAGGCGCATGTAGACTCACGTGAACCTTTTGTGTAAGTTATAGGTATCCATTTTTATACCTAAATGAAAAAAATGAAATTTTATGATATTTATTTTTTTATTAAAGTAAAAAGTATTTTAGGAAATGCCTATGACATAGTTTTTTTTTTAATCGGAAAAACAATTCAAAAACAACCTAAAAAAATAGCAAATCAAGTCCAATAGAACCTTGAAACTGGATCAGAAAATCTTATTCGATGTCGTCTTCGCTGTCGTTTAGAAGAGGATGTTGATCTTTTATATCATCGTCACTGAGAAGATTGTTATAAAAAGATCTAACGATGGGGTTTATTAGCGGAAGAAGAGAAATCAAATCTCGCTTTTTCTCATTTGAAATAGCTATTGGCCCATCGTATGACCTAGGAATACATTCCGTTTCAAACACACTTGGGAGTGGTGATTTTCCTCTTTTCCTTTGCAAATTAACAATGTTCCATTCTTCCACATCATACAACTTATAATGAAATTGAGGAAACTCTCCTTTTTTATACTTAAAAGCAGCACATTCTGACAGGTTAAACTTTTTCTTATTTTCATCAATTTTCTTTAGCTGTAGAGGCCCTTTTAGAAAGCTAGCAAAATCAAAAAAGAATTCAGCATGCATTTCAATAACAGCGAACGGGTTTTTTTTTGCTGCATGTTCGGACAAGCTGGTACCAATCCCGAGGGTGGTGTATGTCCATTTGGGTACGTTTTTTGGCCTTTTCAATTATCGCGTGATCAACATCACAATCCATGTGTGTGTGGCCGGGTACTAAGAAATTATGGGTTATTGTTTCTATATTGGAATTGTTACGTAAAGCAAGCAACAAAATACATACAACATAAATATTTTTATTCTGCCCAGAACAGGAATCAGAATAAAAAATAAGATGCTTAATATTAGATGCAACAAGATTCATAATATAATAAAATAAACATGAAGCTATTTGATTAGCTCCTCTGCCACCAATTCCCTCATGCCACATAAAACAATATACTTTATTATGAGTACAATCCCTTAATGTTAAATTGTAAGTCCATAATGCACGCTTATAAAATGCAGCCCCAGTTTTAAGGAATGGGGTCGGCAAACATTGCTGCAGATCGAATGATAGAACTGCGGTGTCCCCCTTTTCAATAGAACAAGCCCGGTCTTTTGATTTTTGATCATAAATGGTTTCTGCTCTTCTTTGATGCTCTTCCAAAAGTTTTTCAGTGTTTTCCTTTTCTAAACCATCACAAAACTTAATTTTCGTATTTAAAGTATCACATTTCACACACGTATCAACATATGGTGTTTTGAAAGATAAGTTTTGGGCCCGGAAAACCCATGAGTAGATGGTCAGTGATACCGGATTTTCATTATCCTCGCAGTAAGATTTATACATATCTTGCAGGGTTAGATGGGGCGGCAAAAATTTTTTGTTTGTCTTAGAACGACCATAATGGCTCTCATATATTGGAAATGATAATATATGTGTTTTCACATTTTCTAACCTCTCATTGTCTATGGTTAAAGCGCTAGGCTTTTTTCCTCTTGTAGATTTGGCCACAATACCACCGCTTTCTTTAATTTTCCCAGTTACATTTTGTATAAACTTAGGGGTTTCATCAAATGTTTTTAAAAAACAACCTTTACATATACGATGACACTCTAAATGAAGCTTTAGGCAGTAGTTATTAGTAAAATGTCTGTTTTTAACTGTAGCTGCAAGTTTTGTCGATGCTTTTCCCTTTACATCTATAAGGTTACTTATGAACAAAACTCGTCGGTCGTAGTCTCCTAAGCTCCAGTAATAATTAAAAATCTTATTTCTAAATTCTTCAGGAATTCTTTCAGCACATTTCATTCTACAAGATCCCAGACCTTTGATTTTCCTTTGTTCTACTTTTTTACCTTTTCCTGTCTCGTAACTCTTTCCTAGATTTCTCTTCTTTTTTCTAGTTTCTCTATCTACTCTTCTTTCCTTGATACTTTTCCTAGGCTTATGTTTCCGGCCTTGTTTAATACCTTCTTTATCCCAAAATGACTTATTATTGCTCGTATCTGAATCTGACTCTGGAATAATGACATTACTATTACGTCTTGTGCGCTTTTGTAAAACTGAACAATCTGAGCTACTTGTGTCACATGTATTTGGGATGAAATCGTCACTACTATCTGTAGAATAATCCAAATTGGGGTATGGTAGCGAATCAATTAACATAGAAACAATATCAAGACATACGAGAAACGTTTCATCAGAATCAGTGAATATATCGACATCATTGTCAGGCTCTGAGAAAAGGTTTTTGGAACATCCAGGTATTGTAGAAAATTGTTTAGAGTTTCCCGGCATTGAAGAATAACTGTTTGAACATCCTGGTCTTGGAGAATGATCTCTGGAATGTATAGCCTTTGGAGAATAGTTTTCGCAAGATACAGGTACAGTTATAGATTCGTCATCAATCCAATCCACTCCATCCATCATTGCCATATCTTTGGAAACAAGACCTATCAAACGATTAATGCGACTTCGACCAGCCATTCTAAAACAATAGATATATTTATTAAAACATTACATCAGGGAACCGCGATATAATGAAGAGTACAATAACCACTCAAAATATTTGCAGTTAATTTTGTTACACCTTATATATCTATAATTAAATAATTATACTATAAAGTGTAGTTAAATATGTCTGTGAGGTTGATTCACTATAACCATTGTTATTGTACTGTTTTTATGTCAAGACTTTACTAACATACATACAAAAATATAATAAAAAATCAATATCTCCTCTTCATAATAATTATGTAATGAAGTTTTAAAATAAAAACTCGGTGTAAAAGGGTACATTTAGACAAAAATCTAAATAACAACACGTACACTCTAAATTAATTTACTAAAATATGTGAAAAAGGGTACAACTTACCTGCGCAATCACCGATTTTCTGCAGTGCGTCGACACAGGTTTCCCTCAACAGAGTGCGTGGACGACTGATTGAGCGCGGGCGCTGCGCGCTCCGCACCCACCCGCACCGTACTCCGTATCGGCCAGTTGTATCTTTTCTCACGAAAAATGGCAGCGACTTTTTGGTATAATTTTAGTTATTTCAAATTGCATTTGTTCATATAAATATTTCATACGTGAAAGCTGATATCAAAAGACTTATTCTGGATTTTTATCTTTTATTTTAGTGAAAACGGATTTATGTTAAGTAATATCGTTACTCACTTAACAATTTTTAAGGAACAAATGTACTTGTGCCGGTATTCACCAAATGAATTGAAGCTCTGACAATATATGTTTATTTAGATAAAAAGACACATAATTAAAAAAAACATAGTTCTGTGTAAAGAAATTAGAGTGCACTTATACCCCACTTCTGCAATATTTTAGTGTTAGTTCACCCCTTTTGTATATTGCTAACTTCCTTATTTTTAAAGATAAGCGAGATCTGTTTTTACGAATTGATAGATCATTTTTTTGTGAACATTTTGGTATACTTAACTCATTTTCGATAAAATCGGACTAATACCCTTTTTCACTAGAGGCACAGATATATAGTGTGTAATATAGACAATTTATTAGTCCTTTTTATCATTTTTTTATTGAAAATTTCTTAATTTGTTTATTAAATGCATGCATAAAAGCACACAGGAGCCCGAGAGAATAAAACATGCACTTTTAGGTATTTTAAAGATATACTACAATTTATTTAGACTGATTTTTTTGACTAAAATGAATTGAAAACAAGTGATTTAGATGCTCTCTTATTTATTAGTCAACATATTGCGCTCGTTTAATATTTGAAAGTATAAATATGAAGAAAAACATAATCAAGAATTTCCGCTCGGGCAAGTTATAAACCAGGATATTCTACTAGCTGTTGAATGCGAACGAAGTACTAAAGATAAGCTTTTAAAGGATAATCTTAAGCTTAAAATTTAACTAAGGCGTAGCGGAGTGAAGTAAAATGTTTAAGCTAAAAATGGAAAATTTTACTACGAACCTTTTTGACCGTCCAAAGAAATGGGCATTGTTAGTTTTTATAGCTTTTCATAACTCAGTTAAAATCTCTATAAAGAAAATTTTTTTATGGTTTGTATTTATTTTTTTTTTTCATTTTGTACACATATCATATTTAATTTATAAAATTTACCCGATTGAAAACTCACAAATTTACATACCAAATATTACTTTGCAGTTATGAGCTATATGCAAGACTTGTATTAATCGTAATGGATACACAATAAGAATAAAAAAAGCGGTGTAAGCTTTGCATTATCTCCTTAAAGGTAATTTTCGCCCTCGGTAATTGAATTAAAGGTATATTTTGTAACTGGATGAGAAAGTATAATGTTACAACTAAAGTTAATTTGATTTTTTATGAGTTACTCACATTTTATTAATGTCCAGGTATTCCCCATGGACAAAATAATATTGTGAAAGGGAAAACGTGCTATAACCCTCCCCTTGAGTCAAGCACGGTGGACCTTGTTCATCCAGTAGCAACCTTTCGGTTGCTTAACATCTTACAAAATATTTAATCGCAAACCGAATGTGCAGGACCTAATTATTTTAATGTAATCCAAATCCAAATTTATCAAAGTTATGTTGAAGAAAACAAGTCTGTTGCATAAATTTGTCTTTAAAGTATGTTGTAGAATCTAAAAATAATAACAGGTTTAATCCTACTGACATTATAAAGGCGAAAGTTTATAGGTTTGAATGCTTGTATTTTCTTCACGCAAATGCTTCTGAACGGGTTTGAAATTTGGTAAATAGGCAACTCTTGGTCTGGATTACTATATAGGCTACTTTTTATACCGCTAAAAGGTTACCTAGGGAAAGAAGAACTTTTAAGGTCTAAACGGTAAGAGATATACGAATACTTTCTTTAGAATAGTTGGAAAGCTTTAAATCATCTATATGCTAAGATTAAAAGAAAAACTTCATAAAAGTGTATTTGAACTTTTTGGGTTTATTGGAATAGGTGATATTGAATCCTAATCAAAATAAATATGGTGATCATGAAATAAATTTAACGGAGAAGGATGAAAAAGATTAGCTGGATGGAAATACACTCGATTGAATAAGTATTACGAATCATCAATGAAAATTGCTATTAGGGCTACCGCGTAACAACATTGGCTTCGAAATAGTTGACATTGGATTGCACTCCATGTTCAATATGCATTGTTAGATCACATATCATCGCATCGAGTTAAACCCAATGCAATTTAACGTTGAGAGCATTTTGATTAACCCCAATATCAATGAAGTCGAAGCCAATTTTGTCATGCCTTATCATAAAACCGGTCAAATGCGAGTCGCACTTGCAAATGGGAGGTCTCGTACCGGAAACGAGTAAAAAAATCACTTTTTTTTTGTCATCCCTTGAACTTTTTTTTATAGTGCCAATAAAAACACGTCTTCTGAGAAATTTTCAAATGTCTAACTATAACGGTTCATGAGAAACAGCCTGATGACAGACAAACTGACTGACGGACAGGTGGAGGGATGGAAAATGGATTCTTAGCAATAGGTTTCTGTTATTTATCAATTAGGTAAGGAACTTTGACACGAACCTCATTACAAAAAAACAAAAACCAAATTCGTAACTAATATCGAGGATGCAGTTCATATTTTCTGTATAGTTCTCTTCCTCAAAAAAGCTTAAACTTTTGTATTTTTATTAAAAAAGGTACATACGAGTATAACATGTTTTGCAGTAAGAAATTTTACAAGAATAACGGTACAGGTTTTATTATGATTAATCAAAATTCATTTTTACATAAAATGAAGTTTAATTTGTCCTAATAAGAATGGTTTTACGATTTTGAGGTTTGTTTATTTATGTTTTTTTTTTTTAAATATAGGGTAAGTATGTGTCGAGTATCACATCATGTTAATTTTGGCGAAGTAATTCTCCTAGTTTTTTTTTAACTTAAAGTTACTGACCTAATTTCATCAAAGTTTTAATGGGATTATTTCCAGACTCTTTCAAATAAAATGTGCAATGATTGCAATATGAATAGAAGAAAACAATCAAGTTGAAGACCTATTCTTATTTTTTGAAGTTGCTAAAAAAAAACACTGTAAATAGATACTAATACCACGCAAAGGAATTTGAAGGCAAAAGCTTGTCTTTTTATATTACAGTATACTTTTATTACATATTTTTTTATATTAACTTTAGAAATTAATACATCAAAATAGGCACCAATACAATATTTAAATTGCTTTTAATATCTGTATATTATGATTGTCAGTTTTTGTTTTATCCTTAATAAATAGATATAATTTTAGCAAAATAAATCACAAGGATAATGCTTTACTTTAAAAGGAAATAATGTAACATTGGTAAAACAGGTATAGAAGGTTTTATAATATTTTAGTATGGATTCTAATTCTCTTATTGATACGTTTTACCAAAATCATATTGATATTAATATATAAAAGTGTGAGTAGGTACGTAAGCTCACGATATATTTAACCTGGAGGGTATTAAAAAATGTAAACCTTTCAATTTCAACCTGATACATGGAAATGTGTCTTAGTTTTTCATTTCAAATTTCAATTATCGGGAACAGCTGAAAACATTTTCGTTACGTAGACAGGTTGGCAAAAAAATCTAAAAGAAAACATTATCAATGGACTGTCGATGCGATAGAGGGTAGGCAAAAAGAGGATGGCAATGTCAATCCGCCTTATTGGGGGGAAAGGGACAAAAAACACGTGATTGATGAGAACTCATCGAAAATGCATGAACTGACGCCGGGTATCGAATTGAATCAAAACATACTCGGTAGTTGATATCAGTGGAACGACTAGTAAATGTTAGCTCTCGTTATAAATAAAACAGTGCTAAAAGAATCCGACAGAGTTCAAACAGAATTTTTATTTGGTGATCTCCCAGTATCTACGTTGATGGTTATATAATTTGTAGAGAATTTGATTGAATAGATTTGGCCACATCATTCAATTTTCTAGGAATCCTTTCTAGCTCAAATGCCGATAGGCTTATTCTTGACCAGAGGAGTTACCATCACCTCTATAACAATGTTTAATCTGTACAGCGAGCGGAATAGCGCTACACAGAACAATACTGGTGTCCTGTTCACTGCAAGGATTAAGCATTGCTATAAGAGCTCATGAATAGGTCCCTAATTTGTGAGTGCGCTACGTTTTACTTCTTCCGAGCGCGATTAATAATTTAGTAAGTATTGTTTCTTTATATAGATTACTAGCTGTGCCCGCGACTTCGTCTGCGTGGGAAGTATTTTGGTAGAATTCTTTTTTTCCTATTAATGGAGTCGAATCGAATAAGATCAATGGGCCATAATGTTGCCGATGCAGTCGGGACTAACGGTTTAACGTGCATTGTGCCAGTGTTGTGCACAGTACTCAAGATAATAATATTGTGATCACCCATCCTGCGAACGGTCCTTACGAATGTTATTTTTCTATCTTTTTTCTCGTTTCTCGCGCTCTGGTTGTCGCTTGTGTCTGAGCGTTTTATTCGTACCTTTAAACTGTCCTTCTTTTGTTTTTGATCTTTTTAAATTATTATTATTTGTCTAGTTGAATGCACAATCGGTTATTTATTGTTCTATTTTCCATGTAATGCTAGGTTGTCTGGAAAAAATCGCTGGCTAGCGATGAGTTTGTCGTTTGTACTTAGTTATGTATACCTAATAAGTATTCATGTATGTTCTTGTGTGCAGTATTTACTTACTTATTTAACGTCAATTTAAGTCGAATGCGCTAACCCACTACGCCATCAGACCTCTTATACCTAAACTGTACTAATATTATAAAGAGGAAAGATTTGGTTGTTTGTTTTTTTGTATCGAATTTGCCCCAAAACTACTGGACCGATAGTTTCAGAGCGATTCCGACCTATGTGGTCGAGCAAATGGTCTGTTTTTAAAGAGGC